CTAGTATGAATTAGCATTTTGTTAACATGTTTAGTATGAATTAGCATGTTTTTAGCATAGTTCTAGTATGAATTAACATGTTGCTAGCGTGTTTCTAGTATAAATTAGCATTTAGTATTTATTAGTAATTTAGTATGAATTAATATGTTTATAGTGTAAATTAGCATGCCGCTAGTATGTTTATAGTATGAATTAGCAAGTTGCTTTTATGTTTATATGATGAATTAGCATGTTGATAGTATAATTAGTATGTTGTTAGTATGTTTCTAGTATGGATCAGTATATTGCTAGTATACACTGGTATGTCGTTAGTATGTTTCCAGTATGGATTGGTATGTTGTTAGTTTGTCCAATGTATAGTCAATGGCAGTTTTTTACAATGGAAATCTATGGGACAGTTGCTAGGCTGTGGCTAGTAAGTTGAAAGGTCATCTGTGATTGGCAGATTGGTAGTCTGAGGTAAATGAGCGCAAGCTCAAGTCTATTTGACAGTATGGCGCAAAGTTTTGAAGTCACAAATTTGGTCCAATGTTAAGTCAATGGGACTTTTTCGAATTTTCCAGGTCAGTTTTAGGAAAACCGGAAGTCGGATCAGTTGGAAAAGATATAGCAGCATAATTCAGTATAGTTTGGAGGTTTGGAGTTAGTTTGGTGGTCGTAGTATGAACTGTCTAGGAGGAGATGTGTTCTTAAAATAGTCTAAGAAGAATAATAAGTTTATGTAGTATATAAAGCCATTCTTTATTAAAAGATAAACAAAAACCATACTATCCCCCAATGTTATACTATTTTTCAAGTTGCTGTGTAAATGTGTTTGCTATATTAACAAATAAAAAATACAGGTGTACATTCAAATGCTTCAGTTGTTCTGAGTGAATTCTGAAACATGCTTACAAAACATCACGTCCTAATCTCCTTACCTTTATAGGTAGGTACAGTGTCCAGTTTTGCATTGACGACATGCACTCTCTCTTTAGGGCGCAAAGGAGTAAATGGCTGCACTTCATACGGGTTGAAGTCTTGTTTATAGGTGGTTCCCAAATCAATCTCTCCAGACTTGGGCTTGTACTCGAGCTGTTGCTTCTCAGGGCGATGAGTGACTGGATATGGGATGTAATCCGTCCTGAGAAAACATGACAATAATTTAAAAAAGCATTTGTAATTTGCTCAAATTAATAATAAATGACAATCTGATGTGAACAACAAGCTAATTGTTCAGAGATCTGAACTGAATGTTTCAAAAAATGTAATTTTATTGTAAAGTTGAGCCAAAGCAGTTGAGAAAACCGGTAAAACCTTCTGACTGTCATGGTGAAAAAAGAACTAATCGTGTTTGGTAAGACTATTTCTGAAGATTACATGTTTTCCAGTTGCTCTCCCACAAACATGTTGCTGCATTTCAGGGTTGTGAAAGTCCTTTCCAGCAGACACAGGATGTCAAAATGACATTAGATTGACGTTGTTATCCCAAAGTCATGGGGACGTTGCATTTTGTTTGGAAATGAAAATCAGGTTGACGTCAACGTCCAACCTGAAATCAACCAAATATCAATGTCTAATGGTTACAGCTTGATGTTGTGTGGACGTTACCATGATGTCTATCAAACGTTGGATTTTGGTTGCCATTCCTAATGAATAAATGTTGACGTCAATATGACAGTGGTTTAAGATGTTGGCTCGATGTTGAATTTTGGTCACTTTCCAACACAAACCTAAAATCAACCAAATATTCATTCATTCATTTTCTTGTTGACCTTCTTGTGGATACCTCTCCAGCTGCAACCCATCTCTGGGAAACATCTACACACACACACACATACACTGCGGAGAATTTAGCCTACCCAATTCACCTGTATCGCAAGTCTTTGGACTGTGAGGAAAACCGGAGTACCCAGAGGAAACCCACGCAAATGCAGGGAGAACATGCAAACTCCACAAAGAAACGCCAACTGAGACGAGGTTCGAACCAGCGACCCAGCAACCTTTTTGGTGTCAAGGCGACAGCACTACCGACTGTGCCGCTGCATTGCCTCAAATATCAACGTCATTATTGGACACAAAATAAAGTTGTCCTTAAACATTGGTTGGACATCGAATTTTGGTCACCTGATGTCACAATCCAAATCTAACCTAATATTAACGTCTTATGACATTGTGTGTCTGCTGGGTTCATTCTCAATAATAATGGTTGTGATTTCACTGTGGGCATCCTACATAATTTGCTCCCAAACTTAAACAGTTAATGACTGATTCAAAATTGTATTGAAATTGTTGGTCATTTGCTAATTTCACAGACATTCTGAAGAATGTCAGTATCAGATATTTATAGAATATACATGTCTGTACACACCAATTTTTGATATTTGAATTGATTGTTTTGAGTTTGCATGTTCTCCCTGTGTTGCCGTGGGTTTTCTCTGGGTGCTCTGGTTTCCCCCACAGTCCAAAGATATGCGCTATAGGGGAATTGGGTCACTAAAATCGGCCGTAGTGTATGAGTGCATGTGTGAATTGGTGTTTCCCAGTACTGGGTTGTGGCTGGAAGAACATCCACTGCTTAAAACTTGTGGTGAAATAGTTGGTGGTTCATTCTGCTGTGGCGACCCCTGATAAATAAGGGACTAAGCTGAAGAAGAATGGATGAAGCAATCAATTTCTGAAATGATTATCTGTTCGGGCAATGCTTGATTTGTTCGAATGATAAAGAGTCTGATAAAACCCCAGTTAATTGTCCCAAGATTTTGCTCTGAAGCCACATTCTTCCATTTAAACTCTTTATTATTTATGTATTATTACAAGCTGTTTACTGTCTAGCCGTACAAATGATTAACAGAACAAAATCTGACATAGAAACCCATTTAAATGAAATATTATTAGCCATATAAATTTTAACTTTTAAAATAAATTAGTTTCTTTCGGTATTTAAATTTCAGAATTTACCTGAAGGTGGTTGTTGCGTCCATCGTGTCCTGATGTGCTTTATACTTCAGTTGGGGCTTGAGGCTCTTGGGACGAGTGTGACCTTTATAGGGAGGATACTTCTCTATGTACTCTGACAACACGTTGGTCTGAGGGTCTTTCTTGTACAGAGTCGTGGGCCGGTGTGTGCAGCGGTGACGCCTATTGAGAGAAGCATTTAAGAAACAATTGATAAGCAAAGATAATCGTCTCTGTGCTCACAACACTGAACGTGTTTGTGTTGTCAAGGGAACAAGTACTGCAGTATACAATAAAGTCAAATACAAACTGTTGCTAAAGGCTTCATGTTTTTTTCATTTTGCGCTAATCAAGTATTTTAAACTTGCATTCAAAAATAGAAAATTAAATTACTAATTTAATGGAATAGTTCCCCAAAAACTGAAAGTTTTGTCATCATTTGCTCATTTTGAAGAAAGCTGAAAGTCGATAACCATTGACTTTTGATATATCATATTTTCTCTTAATGCTGAATTAATAATGATTGTTGAGTTGATCTTGTGTTCAATCTATTATTTTAGTATTGTTTAGATATTCTAATGAGTCATGAGACCATAGTGTTCACCTGATCTCTGTGTTCTCTGATGAAGGCAAGTGCTTGCTAAAACACTTAAAGGTCAATAGAGTCAATAAAGGCTTTTAAACATATATTTTCTTCATTTTTTCAGTGCCTTGGACTTACTTTTGCTGTTTATTTTGATGAATTCCTTACCCAAAGAGCATTGACATTAATTAAGCTACCCCTGAGCACTTTTGTTTGATAGTGAGTACATTTTCATTTTGGGGTAAACTGTCACTTTAAGAAAAATACTTTTCTGTACCACTTTCCTGTCAACGCAAAATATCAGCTTTTATTATTGTTACAAATAAAAGAAATACTATTCTTTATTAACATTTTATAACAAATAAAACACAAACAAATTAAACTACTGGGTTAACTGTTTAATTACATTTATTTTTGCAACCAAAAATCTTTAGTTTGTGCATATTATAAAATAGCAAGAATTTTTGTCCATAAATGACATGTGTTTATTTGTTTCTATTTAAATCTAAGTATTACCAGGGGCAGATTTACCAATTTTTGCATTTTACCAATTTCCAGCATGGGGCCTCAAGTCCTGAAATGCACCCTTTCTACTTTAATTTAAATATTTATTAATTTTGCTGTTTTTTTATCATGCAATCTTCTTTTTTTATGTTTATCTCAATGTAAACTTCCCATTTTAAATAATTAGATGTCTTAAAATAAATTTACCACCAAAAAAAAAAAAAAAAAAAAAAAAATATATATATATATATATATATATATATATATATATATATATATATATATATATATATATATATATATATATATATATATATATATATATATATATATATATGTTATGTAATAATAATATATATAATATATATATATATATAAATTTGACTGCTGGACTGCTCCATGACTGAGGGTGGTGGATATTTTTTTTATTATTATTACATAACATTACGTTATAATGATAATATTTTATTGTATATTAAATATTTAATTCTGTAAAAAAATATTTGTTTGACTCACTCTACAAAATATGATAGAAAATGATATTATATGTAGTTCATAGGCATAATTTATACCTCTAGATTTTTATTGTCGGCCCCCAGATATCCTGGGGCCCTAAGCGGCCACTTACCTTGCTTATTGATTAAATAACATAAAGTTATTTGCAATTCTCCGTCCTTCAAGATTAGTTTGTCTAACTTTTTCCATTACACCAAATCCAAACATTTACCCATCAATTATTCAAAACGTCTTCTCGGGTTACTTATATTCTCTTGTACGCCAAAAACAAGCCCCAACAAATCAAACACTCTCTTACCCACAGCTGCACATCTCACAGATACAAAGGCGTGTCATTTTCATCGGTTTATTGACGATTATTATGAATGTTTCTTCAACTCACACACTCGCTGCCCGTCTGTAGCATTCCGTTTCCACGCAACCGCTGTCAGATGCGTCCTGGTGACGACGCTGCGTAACGTACTACGTATGACGCATGCGACGAGCCGCACGTTTGCGCTTCCTGGACTGGAGGGAACATGTGAGTATCTGTTGTCATTTCTCATGCTGATGGCGTTCAAGTTCATAAAGCCAGAATGGCATTTGGAATTGGCTGGTTTTTAGGCTGAACATACGCGTGTTTATATTACCATGTTATATATGTCTGCTTTGAACGTTAGGTTTGTGCGTTAGCAATAGACGTTGTTTTGAAAAGTTTCAACTGATTGTGTCATCATTGAATCATTCATATTTGAGAAATAATATGCTGGAATATTATGGTTGTCAACAAACATACTCGCTCAGTTTTGTGTTGAAACTGCGTCATTTATAATTGAGGTAAAGTTGGTTTTAACTTTCTTGTTTGCTCCATATATTGTTTAACATGGTACTTCGCTCTGAACTGAATATGACAGCATTAGCACTATTTATTTGACTGTTAGAAATGTTGTTGGCTACTTTGATAGTCACTGGCTGCTAATATTATTTCACTATTTTTCGTTTTGTTGGTTATCGACTTCCACTCATTCTGTGTCATTAATAAAGAATTAAGTTTACCTAAACATGACTTAAACAGCGTTAGATCCAATTGTTAGACTGTGAAAAGTGTTGCAGGCTACTTTGATAGTGGTTGGCTGCTAATATTCATGTGATAATTTGTAAACATTCTAGTTTGGTTCTTTGGTTTGCTGTTTACAAGACGTCACTCAATCCATGAAGTGAAGCTTGAGCTTCAATAGCTAACATTTCCACTGTTTTTGACTTTTAATAATTAAATTACTTTATTATCATGATTATTTGTAGATGTACAGTTGAAGGCAGGATGTTTAACCTTGTGATATCTTAATATATCCCAAGTGATGTTAAACATACCAAGAAGCATTTTCACAGCATTTCACATCACATCATTCATTCATTCATTCATTTTCTTTTCGGCTTTGTCCCTTCATTAATCTGGGGTCGCTACAGCAGAATGAACCACCAACTTATCCAGCACGTTTTTACGCAGCGGATGCCCTTCCAGCCGCAACCAATAACTGGGAAACATCCATACACACTTATTCAAACACATACACTACGGACAATTTAGTTTACCCAATTCACCTGCACCGCATGTCTTTGGACTTGTGGTGGAAACTGGAGCACCCGGAGGAAACCCACGCAAACATGCAAACTCCACTCAGTAATGCCAACTGACCCAGCCGAGGCTCTAACCAGTGACCTTCTTGCTGTAAGGCGACAGCACTACCTACTGCGCCACCGCATCGCTCACGACTGCTAATATGATTTCACTATTTAGAATTTGCCAAGAGTACGTTTCTGAAGTTTTATTATTAAGGAGAACGCCTAAAAGTGTGAATGTAAAACCAGCTTAAGCTCAGAAATTTAGCTGGTAATCGACTTTCACTCATTCTGTGACACTCATAAAGAAACAGATTGTAATTGACAGAATTCTGACCAGAACCAGAAAATCAGAGCACATCACACCTGTCCTCAGGTCTTTACACTGCAGGGCTCAACAATAAGGACTGCCCGGTGGCCCAGGGCCAGCGTGAGAGACACTTGGGACATTAGACCGGATCATTACTGGCCCGATTGGGACAGTGCTGCCTTGTCACTTACATTTAATTTGTCTGACTATTTGTCAATTGCGTGCATTTTAAGTTTGTGCTTTTAAGTCTTTAAACACTACCTTTTCTGTGATGTAGAAAAGTTTCCAGTTCCTCTTATCTGATTGAGCATGCAATTTTTTCTGTAACCTGGTAACAATCAGTACAGCAAAGAAACGGCAACATGGCGGCAACATCAAATTATAAGGCTAAAAGAAAATGTCTGTTTCTAACATCTTGGAAGTAGACATTTACGTGGGAACAACACGACAAAATAAAAATGAAGTGATGTTTTGCACAGTTTTCCGTCAGTTGGACAAGTCAGCCACCTTTTGTTAAATAATTTTAAACCGCAATAAAATACCTGCACATTTTCCATACTGCTCTTTTTGCTTGCATAACTTTTATTTACATTTTTTTAAAGTATTGAAATTCTAGATTTACAGACTTTATTTTTGACACTTTAATTAAAATATGTGGCTAAAAATAGCTATTAACTTCCCTTTTTTTGGCAGGGCAAGTAAAAATCTAAACCACTGGCCCGATCAGACCAGTAGAAAAAATCCTTAGCGTTGAACCCTGCACTGGCTCCCAGTTACATTCAGAATAGATTTTAAAGTATTATTACTGGTCTATAAATCACTAAGTGGCCTAGGACCTAAATACATTACAGATATGCTCACTGAATACTGACCCAACAGATCACTCAGATCTTTAGGATCATATAAACTAGAAGTTCCAAGAGTTCAGTCAAAGCAGGGTGAATCAGCTTTCAGCCACTATGCTCCTCGCTGCTGGAATCAGCTTCCAGAAATGATCAGATGTGCTCCAACAGTAGGCACATTCAAATCAAGACTGAAAACACATCTGTGAGCACTGTGCTGCGTCCGACAGACCACACTATTATGTTTTTCTCTTGTTCTTCATTCTTTTATATCACATTTGACCTGTTTTTATGTTTTTTTACTCATTTTTATTATTTATTTTTATTTTTATTTTACTTGTTTCTTTTATTCTTGTTTATGTAAAGCACTTTGAATTGCCACTGTGTATGAAATGTGCTATATAAATAAACTTGCCTTGCCTAATTGAGGTGAAGTTGGTTTTAAATTCGCACATTCATTTAGTGACAACTTGTGACACGCTCTTTGTATTGTTTACCATGGTACTTTAAATATTCGGTCTGAAATCGCATGTAAATATGACAACATTAGCACAATTTATTTGGCTGTGTACAATGTTGTTGATAGTCACTGGCTGCTAATATGATTTTATTATTTAGTGTGAATATAAAACCAACTTTACCTCATTCATTTTGCTGGTAATCGACTTTCACTCATTCTGTCATTTATATAAAAAAAATAAGTTTGAGTTGAGGTAAAGTTGGTTTTATATTCGCACATTTTTTCAGTGACAACTTGTGACACACTTCCTATATTGTTTACCATGGTAATTTAAATATTCACTCTAAACTCACATGTAAATATGACAGCATCAGCACTATTTATTTGACTGTGAACAGTGTTGTAGGTTACTTTGATAGCCATTGACTGCTGAAATGATTTCAATGTTTAGTGTGAATATAAAACCAGCTTAAGCTCAATCATTTAGCTGGTAATCGACTTTCACTCATTCTGTGCCACTCATAAAGAAATCACTTGTAATTGAGGTGAAGCTGGTTTTATATTCACACACTCATTCAGTGACAATTGTGACACGGTCTGTATTTTTTTACCGTGGTACTTTGAATATTCGAACAAAAAAAATCACATGTATGACTTCAAAACATTAGCACTATTTGTTTTGAACTTTGATAGTCATTGGTTGCTAATACGATTTGCAAATAATACTTTCTGAAATTATACTATTAAGGAGAAAGTCAGAATGTGTGAATATAAACCAACTTTACCTCAATTAAGTTGGATATGTAAACTTAAAAGAGTGGAATTTTAAAGAGAGACACCACTCAAAATATTTTCCCTAAATAGGCTTGTCGGCTTTAAAATAATTAAACATTCATTCATTCATTCATTCATTTATTCATTCATTTTCCCTCGGCTTAGTCCCTTATTTATTAGGGGTCGCCACAGTGGAATGAACTACCAACTATTCTGGTATATGTTTTATGCAGTTGATACTTTTCCACCTCCAACCCAGTACTAGGAACACCCATACACACATTCACACTTGCACTCATACACTATGGCCAATTTTGTTTTACCCAATTTACCTATAGTGCATGTCTTTGGTCTGTGCGGGAAACCCACTCGAACATGGGGAGAACATGCAAACTCCACATCGAAATGCCAACTGTGATGTGATAGTGCTAACCATTGAGCCACCGTGCCACCCCAATGAAGAAACACTTATGAAAAATAAATATTTAAAATCAAATTGATGCTTGCCCCTCCACATTATTTTGGAAATTTTTTTTATGAGAGCTATTTTAAACCTATAAATATCAAAGATACCGGAGCGGTAATCTAACTATACTATACTATACTAGCACTTTTTTCTTAGGACATAAAGGTATTGTGCAAAGAAGGCATTAAAGGTTGATGAAAACAAGTAGTGGAACATGGTTGGATGGTGCATTCACAAGTAAACATTGCTTTTTTTTATTGAGGCCTTTTAAACTGGAGTTTAAGTAAAGTGTCTGGTGCATGTGGAGAAAGTTTTTAGACAGATGGTTTGTCAAGCCCACTCACCTGTGTGTGGCACACTCTGAAATGCACAGTGTTTTTATAGAGATGTAGAGTGATTTTAAGAAAGTATACCTTGAACAGCATTTGTAGATGTCACTTGTGTTGTATTCTAGAATTAAATGAATACATTTTAAGCTATTTATAAGTCCCAAATATTTTTGGGGTGTTAATTTTATTTGTGTTTATTCTACTAATAAAGTGCTCTTCGTCTTCTTGATATAGAAAGCAACAATGGGTCACACGAGTTTGGAGAAGATAATTGCACTGCAAAAGAAAACGGCACACATTAGGAATCTGTGTATTCTTGCTCATGTAGATCATGGTAAGTTTGAAAGTTGCCGATTTACAGTTGAAATCAGAATTATTAGCCCCCCTTTGAATTTTCTTTCCCCAAATGATGTTTAACAGAGCAAGGACATTTTCACAGTATGTCTGATATTATTTTTTCTTCTAGAGGATGTCGTATTTGTTTTATTTCGGCTAGGATAAAAGCAGTTTTAATTTTTTTTTATATTTCTATTATTAGCCCCTTTAAGCAATTTTTTTTAAGTCTACAGAACAAACCATCAATATACAATAACTTGTCTAATTACCCTAACTTGTCTAATTAACCTAATTAACCTAGTTAAGCCTTTAAATGTCACTTTAAGCTGTATAGAAGTGTCTTGAAAAATATGTAGTCAAATATTATTTACTGTCATCATGGCAAAGATAAAATAAATCAGTTATTAGAGATGAGTTATTAAAACTATTATGTTTAAAAATGTGTTAAAAATTTTCTTTAGGTTAAACAGAAATTGGGGAAAAAGCGAAATAAGCGGGAGATGAGGGGTAATAATTCAGGGACTTTAATAATTCTCACTTCAACTACATACATTTTAATGCTTATTTATTTATTTATTGTTATAGTCATTAATAGTCAAGTATCTACTGCCAGATTTTTATATTTTTGTATAAATTGAAACATTGTGTGTTGTCTATAGGGAAGACGACGTTAGCAGACTGTCTGGTGGCCAGTAATGGTATTATATCCAGTCGTTTAGCAGGAAAGGTAAGTGTACATTCTGGAAAATGACCAGTTGTTAGCCTAAAAACAAAGTACACACAATAAATTATACTTTTTTTAGCATATGTTGATTGTTTTTTTTTATTTAATTTTGATGTATTATTATTTATTAACTCTGTGTATTTAAAATGATGTGTTATTAACTAAAACTAGAAATATAAAACGTTGCTTTTGTGATTGAAATTAAGCTGAAAGAAAAGAATTATAATAATACTAAAAAAAAGCTTTCATCATGAAATTTCAGAAATACTCATTAAGTTTCAGAAATGCTCATTAAGTTCTCAAAATACTAAAACTGAATAAAATATATTAACTCTACATTAAATTTAATAATAATTATTATATATACTGTACATGTATTATCTAAAATAATTGACTAAAACCCACAATTGATTTAATGCATCTTACAATGTATCTTTAATATCATCACTGTTGTTGTGTATAACTATAAAAGAAACAATTCATAAATAAATAAAATAATTAATTAAAGTATTGCTGAAATAAAAAAAAAGATATTAAATAGAAAAATTATATTAGATGAGAAAATTGTAAGGTGAATACCAACAAAACTGAAATAAAATACATTAAAGCCACAGTGAATAATAATAATAATAATAATAATAATAATAATAATGATGATGATGATGATGATGATGATGATTATGATTATGATAATACAAATTATTATTATTATTATTATTTCTTAAAAAAACATAAAAATATTCAAGTAAATAATAAATATTTTTTTCAGTACTGGGTTGCGACTGGAAGGGCATCCACTTTGTAAAACATATGCTGAAATAGTTGTAGGTTCATTGCACCATTGTGACCCCTGACAAATAAGGAACTAAGCCGAATGAAAATTACTGAATGAATCATAAAAAATACATTTAAAAGTTGAACTAATTATGAATTATAATTAAAATAAATGATTGATAGACAGACAGACAGACATTTACATGACTTTTTTTATGTCAACCGCTGTCCTTCCAAAATTCAAAATTGTAACTATCCATAAAATAATATTTTGAAAATAGTATTACAGTACACTCATACACACACACCCCTGTTGGTTTGGAGTTGAAATAAGACTCATACAATTGAAGCTCACCATCTTGTCTGTCACTGCTGCTTTCTGTCATTGCTCCTGTAGCTGAGATATCTGGACAGCAGGGAGGATGAGCAGATCAGAGGAATCACCATGAAGTCCAGCGCTATTTCATTACATTTCGCAACAGGTGATGGCCATCGTGGTCTGTATTGTTTTTACTGATTCGACACGATGTACTGCTCTGGCTTATGTTTGCCGTTGTCATTGCAGGAGGAGTGGAGTTCCTCATTAATCTGATCGACTCTCCCGGTCATGTGGACTTCTCCTCTGAGGTGTCCACCGCTGTCAGATTATGTGACGGGGCCATTGTTGTGGTCGATGCTGTGGAGGGAGTGTGTCCGCAGGTATCATCCAACATCGAGAGTCTTTTCACTTGTTTTTCGTAGATTAGACACACAAAGTGCATAGAAATTAAATGCTTTAAAAGTTACACTGTAATTCGCCCAGCCTCATGCTTTTTTTGACTTGTATGTAATAGCATACGTTTGACCATCCATAACAAATAGAGAAAAAAAGGGCGAAATAATATATACAGTTGAAGTCATAATTATTAGCCCCTGTATAGTTTAATAGTTAAAATAACAAAAACAAAATATCTCTTTATAATGAAATAAAGAGACCCTTAAACTTGATAAATAAAATGTTACAAAGTGTGTACATTGGTAAAGTGTAAATGCTGAACAATCAAAGCAAACTTTAATGTGTCAATAGTAATGATACAGTAAACCTCAAACTCTGTAAACAACACTAATTATGATAATCAAATCTGAGCTTTCAAGTAAAGGAACCAGCCATCATTATTCAAATACATATTGCAACATTACAAACTGTGAAGTTGGATGGCTATATTACCCCCTATGTTAAAAACTCTTTCAGATGGGGAGCTAGTGGCTGAGATAAACAAGAAAAGAAACCAAAAAGCCACTCTGGCGACATCCTTACATTCTTTTTTATTTACAATCTCCTCATTGCTGCTATATGACACTCGTTTTCGCATGTGCGGTTATTTTGACCTGAAGTGGCAAGCATGATTGCGTTGTTATTTTCCCCATTTTGACTATATAAAAAATTTTCAATCATGGATTATGGGTTCCAGATCCTTAGAAAAAAATAAATGTTTTAGTGTAATGTAGCTTCAGTGTGTTAATATCACTTTTATAGCATGTCACCATAACAGCCACTCTTCTTCTTCTTTTTTTTTTTTGCTGCTTTAGACGCAAGTTGTTTTACGACAAGCTTGGTTGGAGAATATCCGCCCTGTTCTTGTCATCAACAAAATCGACCGGCTGATTGCGGAGCTAAAGCTCACTTCACAGGAGGCGTACGTTCACCTGCAGAAAATACTAGAACAGGTGAGGCAGAGCACACCTCTATTGATCAATGAGTTTTTAAAAGGTTTTGCATGTGTATATTTTTCATGTGTTTTGTAATTGTTATGTTATAAAGTTATTAGGATATTGTTATATTTTCAATCAACAAGAACAGAGAGGGAACAGTAAATTAAACTATAATGCTACAAAAATATAGATATTATTTGTTTGCAATAAATCCTGCTGTTTTAAACTTCTGTTGTTAAAACAGAAAAAAACATTTATTTTATATAAACTATAAAAAAAAATTTATTTACTACAAAAATATAAGCGTGTTCAACATATATAGGTGGGCATAGATTCATTTTTTAATCTAGATTAATCTCACTGTAATATTGCAATTAATCTAGATTAAAATGGCTCATTTGAATTCTGCCGAAGGCATTCAGAATGTATGTGCTACTAAAATAATAAGTCTTTGAGAACGGGTTTCTCAAGCCAGGTGGCTCATCTCCTGTTTCCAAAATGCATCACAAACTGCTTGAGAAACTGTTCTACTATGATATTTGATGATGAAAAAAAATTATGTTCAATGAGATGAACTTGTGTTTACTAGCTGTTTATTCAGATAAACATGAATTTTAAACTGTAGGCCTACAGAAGCTCCAAACAGCGATTTTTGATCACCCTGATCCGACTAAAGTCATAACTGAACTAAACAGAAATAGAATTAAGATGTGTGGAGTCTGCAGATATTAGTGGCATTATTGAAAACACCACAATTAAACTATTACTGTCATGTAGGACTTTTCGCCATATTTTCCGACAAGACACACACACACACACATCACGAAATACGTAAGTTTTTTCTTTCCATTCGGCATGCATTATTAAATTCCATAACACTCTCACCAGTCCTTACTCTTTATTTGCAACTAATGCCCCAGTTTGTCTCAGGTGCATGAATGAAATATTCATGAATGAATGTGAAACTGCAAATTGCAGTTAAAGTCAGCCAAAATTACAGGAAAGACCTTAATTATATTATTGTCTATTAAGGCAAATAAGATTGATTATTTATATATATATATATATATATATATATATATATAATTTAAAATATAAGTTTAACAGCATTTTGCAATAGTTTAACAATAACAAAAATAAATAGCACTTAACAAATATAATTTTAAATTATAATCATGAATAGCCATTTTGTGCTGTATTTTGTTTAAGTTATTGCTTAACGCTTATTGCATCCTGCTTGGATGGGATGGGTCGCTTGGTGATTTCCAAAAATATATTTTATTAAACTTTTATAACTTTCATATTTTTTCCATAACCTACAGAATATTAACAAGTAATTATTTTTACCTTATAATATATTTAATATATACCTAATATTGAATAGTTACATTAAAAAATCATGCAAATAAAAAGTCATCAGCCTTTCAATTCTTTTTTCCATTGGATTGCGACCCCTGGGGTTGTTATGGTAGATTAACATTACAGCAATAGTGTTAGTTGCAGCAAATTGATTTTACAGTACAAAATTAAACTTTTACACCTTCATGGTACTCGCATACATTAAAAAGGCCACGATTGAACAAGGAGGACAACCAAGGATTTCCAAGTGGTTCCAAGTCTCCAAAATTAAACCAAGAATAGTCTTGTGCTATAAACATTGTGCTCACTATTCTCATTAAGTGAGATTAATATTGAATTAAACAAATTAATAATGATTATAAAAAATAGGCTGTTGCACTTTTTTGTGTCGTCAATAAGCTTGTTTATACAGTTCCTACTAGTGTGTGTGCATCATTGTGTGCAGTATTTGTATGCTTATAACCACCTCCGAGCATAGAGTGGGTTGCGAGTCACTGGTGTTGTTGTTTTAGGGGTCGCGGGCTGAAAAGTTTGAGAACCCCTGCTCTAGGAGATGACCTAAATGTCATCTCATGCTTTTTGGCAAAAAAACAAAACAAAACTATAATGAATGTTTGCTCCTGCTCTACAGGTGAATGCAGTTACAGGCACATTGTTCACCTCTAAAGTTCTGGAGGAGCGAGCAGAGAAAGACGCGGGATCTCAGAGCAGCTTCACAGAGAATGAGAGTGGAGATCATGTGTATGACTGGAGCGCTGGTTTAGAGGAGACTGACGACTCTGATCTTTACTTCAGTCCTGACCGTGGGAATGTGGTGTTTGCCAGCGCTATCGACGGTTGGGGCTTCAGGTACATGTCACACTTTTACAGTGAAAAAAGAAAAAAAAAAGATCCAATTTTGTTTTTCATTGCTCATTTTGTACAATTGGTCGATTCAGATTTGCAATTTAGCTCTTTTTTTAATAGTTATTTTATCTTTAAAGTACAAATGAAATCAAAACTAACCATATTGATTGTTTTAGCGCGCATTGCTAGTTTTTTGGTGAACAATTCATCTGTGCATGTCTTTATGACAAAAAAAATTAGTCCTTTGTAATGAGGCATTGGGCGTGGCTAACATACCAAACCACGCCCCTCCAACTGTCCGTTTTGACAACAAACAGAAATGGTGATAAATAGAAGGTGTCAATTAGTTTGTGATAACTCTCCCCAAGTTATGGGTGTGTTTTGAGAATAAACCAATCAGTCTCATCTTCCATTCCCTTTAAGAGTCAGTTGAGTCGCATTTGCTATTTACATGGCGGGCTTTGTAAGTGGAAAACCTGAACGCTTCACTAGCGAGAAAACAGTTAAACACACCATCTGCAGTGCAAGAATAAAGAACAAGACTCCTTTATTCAGCCTCTTTAAGGAAACAGGGTTGTAAGCTCTCAATTGAAGACATCCATTAGCCTACAATAATTAACTTAGTTTAAGCGCAAAGATTTGTTTCAAAACTATTTTTAAATTCAGTTCTAATTTTCAGCAAGCAAATAAATTAACAATAATGACCAAGTGTTATAAAAAAAGTTCTATCCAAACACACGTCCTATACCCCATATGGTCCAAAAGCTGACGGGTGGACAAATCTAAGCTTGTTTAACAAATATAAATTTGTATATAATAAATAATACTGCTAATAATAATAATAATAATAATAATAAATTAAAAGATGAAGAAGGCATGGAGGCAGTGGTTTTTATATTTTTGTACAAAGTAATAATTTTTGTAACATTTTAATTCTTTTATTCTTTTTCATATGTAAGGATATTTGTATTTTGCTGTACATCCTGTGGGTATTAAGCTATGCGTAAGCATTTAAGACGCACAACTAACGTGCTCTGTGCTGGACTTTAGATCTGGTTTCAGCTGGTAAATTGCACAGTCTATTTCAGTTCCTCAAAACAGCAATGCACCAACAATGCGCCTAGACACACTTCTTTTCTTGATCGGCACACTCATGAGTCCACAAAGTGGCACAAATGCATTTGCTATTTAAAAAACGTGGTGGAAAACGGAAAAATTTAACTGAAAATAGCAACACTTTGTGGCATTGTGCCGGGTATATGATAGGGCCTGAAGTCTGCAGAAAGGTAGATCTCCAGGAACATGGTTTGGCTCCTCCTGGTCTACGCCTACGCCTACTCCAACCCTAAACCCAACCTCACAGTAACCTGATGTGTTTTATTAATGTCTACCCCACCTACACCACCTAAACCCAGCCTACTTGTGGTGTAAGTTCCTTCCGCTTAGAGGTCACCCAACCTACTTGCCGTGTATTTGGAGGTCAATATAAAGAGTTTAGATGCAAAAACCTCTAAGTGTCATCTGAATTTTCCATCAAAAATTCAATGTTTTTCAGCCTCCTTTTGTTTATGCTGAGATATTTTATTTTAAGCACCCAGAAAATAACTTATTTTTTTGCCATAAAAGTGGTCTTATTGAACATACACACAGTAGCCTGATAAAAATACTCATTTTAGAGGGAAATTTCAGATGACATTTAGAGGTCTTTGCATCTAAACTTTTTATATATTTTTGTCTAAAACATGGTTCCTAAGCTGCTATTTCAGTATGTCAGTTGATACCCACAGTATGTGCTCCATCTATTTACACTTTGTGCTATAAAATAACTGCAGTGCAACTTGCTTGCAAAGATTGACAGAATTAAAACAAATCAAAAACAAATCTGGTTGCCAGGTGTGCATTTTTGAAGTGAAAACTTTCTAATTCTGTCCAGTTAATCAGTACATCCCTATTAAAAAGCAGTTGACTGTCAGCCTTTACATGCAGTACTTATGATGGTTCACAAGATGGCGTTACAATATCAGTATTCAGCATCAGAGCTCTCCATCCTGCTAATGTTTTGCACATTTTTTGAGGCGTTACATAACTGTGGTTTTAGATACTTGAAATAAGTGCTAATCTGACTGGTGTAGGTGGACGTTTCTAAAAGCTGACCAAACAGAAGAGAACAGAACACTCTGTGAGCATGAGGTGTTTTTTTGCACCAAAGCTCACCACGTTGCATAGTGTAAAAGCACTCCAAAATGAAGTGTCCTTTTGAAATGTTGCGCTTAAACCAATAGGTGGTACAGTGACGTCTGTGCTGCTTTTTTCTCTACAGTGGAAACTGAATGTAAAATACAACCTAAAGTGTACTAATTGTGTGTGTATGTGAGAGAAAATAAGCGAGAAATGTGTTTATTTTGCTTCTATTGTTACAATGCAGTTCCTTCTGTAATTGAATACCATTGTTTACAAACCTGTAATACCTCTTTAGATCGATTATTAAGATATTAAATTGAATATAAATAAATATATATATATATATATATATATATATATATTTTTTTTTTTTTTTTTTTTCAAGTCATGAATTAATTAATAGATCAATTCATTAATTGTATTTTATGACACATATTTATTTATTTTTTTTATGTATTTTAACACTGTTCAACAGGGTTTCTTAAATGTGGGGATCATGACTTGATGAAAACAGAAGTATTATTTATTAATTTCTTTGTTAATTTATTAATCAAATTATATAATATTATATTTCCTTAGAATAATATTTCTAAAAGAGCTGTTGACATAGAATTGAACCAGATTTTGGTAAAAAATAAAACAAAACAAAAAAAGTTTGAGTTTTTCATATACTTTAACAGTGTGTCAAAATCTTGATGCTTCTGTGGGTCTCGTCTATCAAATCTGATCATTAATTTGTTTTCTCTTTTGGATTCAAGTCAGGTGATTGGCTGGGCTATTCTGCAGCTTGATTTTCTTTCTCTGAAAGCATTTGAGAGTTTCCTTGGCTGTGTTTAGAATCATTGTCTTGCTAAAATGTCCACTCTGGTTTCATCTTCATCATCCTGCTAATGTAGATGTTGGACTGAAGCAGCTGATATTAATTTGCACTAAGGAAGGGCAGAGGGTTGCCGAATAACTACTGAGAGATTTCAGCTACTGTCTGGGCTTTCACTGCCTTTCTACACCTTCCTTTCTTCATGTGTTCAGTACATTTTCCTGTGTCATTTAATTTTATTACGCATAACTTCTTTTGTAAAATGATTAGATTTGTTTTCTTTGCATATATGGATTTCTTTGGTTGTTATTAACATCTGACGAATTTTTGAAGTCAACAGCACCTTTAGAAATATGTTTTGAGATATTTATGAGAAAAAGAGTGATTTATTAATGATGGTAAATTGTCTTTTTTCCAATGCTCCATTAGCATCCATCAGTTTGCAGAGATGTATAGTCAGAAGATGGGCATTCGCTCCTCAGTTCTGCTCAAGACACTATGGGGAGATTTCTACCTCAACGCCAAAGCCAAAAAAATCATGAAAGGAGCTCAGGTACTGCCATTCATTTATATATTTATTTTGTACCTTGGTAAACTGAATAATGTTTGACTTAGTATTTTTTTGTGTTGTTTTTCAGCACAAAAATCTTTCATCAGAAACCCTTATTTTTGCTACATTTTGCAGTAAACAAAATGTAATGTATATCTTGAAACGATTAGCTTCATATGTCCCCATATGTCCCATGTCCACAAAACCATAAATGTTTATTTTATTTTTTTTAAATGATGTTTAAATGAAATAAATAAGCTTAATTAATTTTTAGTTTGTTACTAAGATACAACTATTTGAAAGTGTGAAATCTGAGTGTTTAAAAACAATCTAAATGCTGAGAAAATTGCATTTAAAGTTGTTCAAATGAAGTACTTAGCAATGCACATTACTAAGTAAAAATTGTAAAAGTGTAGATATATTTAGAGTAGGAATTGTACTAAATATATTCACAGAACATGATCTTAAATTGATATTCTATTGATTTTTGGCATAAAACAAAAATCTATATTTATGAACCATACTATTTGTTTTGCCTATATTCACAAATGTATCCATGCACATAAGATTAAATCCATGTATAAAGTACAATAATTTAATACATTTGTTCTACAGATAATAATCACTAAAATAAATCATTGTGCTTATTTATTGTAATGATTGATATATTATAATATAAAATATATCTATTTTAAATGATCTATAATCACATTTGTACTGTAGAAATAGTTGTGTATTGCTTTTCCAGCAGAGCAACTAAACTAAGCATTAACGAAAACTTATCTTAGACTTGGCATCACTTTACATTTATTTATTTATGTATTTATGAATTTATTTATTTATTGTTTGTATTATATTTGTATTATTTTGAACAGTTTTTGCCCCAAAGACAGCCAATAAAGCTGGCATAACATTAAATGAAAATGCACGATATTCAAAACACATTTATTTATTGATTTATTGATTTTTTTTATTAATTCATTTAATTAAAATATCTGATATACTGAAGTCAATTTTATAAATTCCTGAAAAGCAAGACATTGGTAACCCTGCTAAAAAAAAGTTTTGTCTTGTTTCTAGTCCACATATCTACAACTTAAATCAAGAATCAGTTATATATGTATATATATATATTTTTTTTTTACTTTTTGTTTAAGATTTTTCTATATATATATATATATATATATATATATATATATATATATATATATATATATATATATATATATATATATATAGACACACACACACACACACACATATATATACTGTTGAAGTTTATATATATATATATATATATATATATATATATATATATATATATAATTATTATTATTATTATTATTATTATTATTTTTTTTTAGAACAACACCTTCCCAACAATTTGATAAAGGACAGATGAGGGAACACATAAAAAGTAATGATATTATTAAAAATAAAAGTTTTAAATTAAATGAAGATAAAAAAAATGTAAAAAATAATATGAATATTATAAACAAATAAAAAAAATTAAGTACTGCCATCATAATTACTTTTCAGGGGATACATTTTTACATCAAGTTACAATGTCTTACATTGTAGTTACCTCAAATTACGTTGGTGATAGGTTAAGTAACCTCCAAATATACATACCTAAATATGTTGTAATACATTTCCACCGCTTCAGAAAAATATCCGTCTTCATTTGTAGACCTGCAGTCATTCATTCCATTACATAGACCTGTTTAAGTCTGAATCCACTGAGCCACCATTGGAGAACCATCTTCCATCCAATGTACTGTCATCATTTTTTTGCAACCAGTAATATTATCCTTAGGACAAATCTTGTTTTTTTCAAGAATGATTTTCTAAACAACAAAATAAAATTGTCTTGTTTTCAAAAATATTAAGTCATAATTAAGTGAGTTTTCCTTAAAACAACCTGTCAATGCGGTAAAGAAAATAATGTTTGTATTTGTTTTGAATTAAGATTATTTTACTCACCCCATTGGCAGATAAACTCAATTATGACTGATTAATTCTGAAAAAAAACAAACCAAAAAAAATTATTTGTCTAGAAAATGCTTCTTTCAAGAATGGTTAGATATGTGGACTAGAAACAAGACCAAAACTTTTTTTGCAGTGCAATCAGAAGACTTTTGTTGGAGATGTTTACAGTAATGCAGGACAAAGATCTGAACACAATGAATCCTGAATAAACAGCCCACAGATGGTTTGTAAAATGCTCAGACAAAACAATATGTTGCTCTCGGACTGATCAATCTGCCATTCTTCCGCTCCAGCAGACAGATCTCATTCAGAGAGCTGATGTGTCCTCCAGACGGCAACATTGATCTGTGGACTGACAGAGTCGAGCCTAACTAAAGCCTTTAAACTTGTTTGAGCTCAGACGGAGCGGAGAGTTTGACCCCGTTCAGTCACATCACAGTCAGTCACGTTATGAGCACAAGTCTTCAAAAAGCCAAATAACGAGTCTGTACTGTATCTGGGTTAATTCAAATATGTTTCCATTTTAAAATGCACAAACTTTGACTATGTTTGCAGCTGGCATCCACATTATGGGAGAGTTTTTCACCCTCAAAAATGGAGACTTTTGGAAACTCTGCAGACACCATTGTAGTTTATAAACTCCAAGATAGAAGTAGTAGACGGACCAAAGATTTAGACTTTTGAAAATGAAAATGTTTTTTTTTAAATGCATTTAAAAGCACTTGCTGACAAACTAAACTTGTTAATTGTTGATCTCAACAAATTAATGGTAGACATGTTTTATAGTGTACAGGGTTGGGTTGACAGACGATGTCATCTTCCCTTGCCGATAGACATCACAATGCTGAGCCGGCATCATGATCCTCTGCCCTGCCCCCGTCGCAGCAGCAACCCGTTTGCAAAAATTACACACTAATATGTCTTAGTTTTAAAATGCTATTTTAGAATGAATATAATCCACATCCACACTGGCATTTCACCCTAGCATTTCTGACAAGTTCCCCTTCCACACTATACTGCTGAAAATGTAGATCACGTGACCACACACACAAACACACAGGCATGCGCTGCAGGCAGCATATGCACGCGTCTGAGCTCCAAGCAGTCAGCAGGTGCTTTGAGCACAAAACCCCAGAGAGCAGTGCATGTCTGATAGTTTATCAAGGATGTACCGCTGGATTGCGTCTCACTACAGTTGTTAAACTTGATATTTAATTAATCTTGTCTCTATCTAACGAGGGCGAAGCAGTGGCGCAGTAGGTAGTGCTGTCGCCTCACAGCAAGAAGGTCACTGGTTTGAGTCTCGGCTCGGTACAGGTGAATTGGGTAGGCTAAATTAGTGTATTAGTGTGTGTGTGTGGATGTTTCCCAGAGATGGGTTGCGGCTGGAAGGGCATCCGCTGCGTAAAAACTTGCTGGATAAGTTGGCGGTTTAATCCGCTGTGGCGACCCCGGATTAATAAAGTGACTAAGCCGACAAGAAAATGAATGAATGAATGAATGAATGAATAAAATTGCCTGGAGTGCCAATCTTCTGTTTAAAAATAGCCCACATCACCATCTGCTTGTAAAAGTTAGCCTAGAACACAATCTGCTGTAAAAACTAGCCTAGAACGCTGTCTGCTGTTAAAAATTTTGCTGAAACACAGTATTCTGTTAAAAACTAGCTTATAGCTCCATCTGCTGTTAAAAACTAGCTTAGAGCACCATCTGCTTTTAAACATTTGCCTGGAGTACCACCTGCTGTTAAAAACTAGCCTAGAGTGCTGTCTGGTGTTAAAGACAGGCCTAGAGCATCATCTGATGTTACAAACTAGCCTAGTGTACCGCCTGCTGTTAAAAACTAGCCTAGAGCGCCATCTACTGTTAAAAACTAACCTAGAGTGCTGTCTTCTGTTTAAAACTAGGCTAGAGCGCCATCTGCTGTTAAAGACTAGCCTAGAGTATCATCTGATGTTACAAACCAGCCTAGAGTACCGCCTGCTGTTAAAAACTAGCCTAGAGTGCTGTCTGGTGTTAAAGACAGGCCTAGAGCATCATCTGATGTTACAAACTAGCCTAGAGTACCGCCTGCTGTTAAAAACTAGCCTAGAGTGCTGTCTGGTTTTAAAGACAGGCCTAGAGCATCATCTGATGTTACAAACTAGCCTAGAGTACCGCCTGCTGTTAAAAACTAGCCTAGAGCGCCATCTGCTGTTAAAAACTAACCTAGAGTGCTGTCTTCTGTTTAAAACTAGGCTAGAGCGCCATCTGCTGTTAAAGACTAGCCTAGAGCATCATCTGATGTTACAAACCAGCCTAGAGTACCGCCCGCTGTTAAAAACTAGCCTAGAGTGCTGTCTGGTTTTAAAGACAGGCCTAGAGCATCATCTGATGTTACAAACTAGCCTAGAGTACCGCCTGCTGTTAAAAACTAGCCTAGAGCGCCATCTGCTGTTAAAAACTAACCTAGAGTGCTGTCTTCTGTTAAAAACTAGGCTAGAGCGCCATCTGCTGTTAAATACTAGCCTAGAGCATCATCTGATGTTACAAACCAGCCTAGAGTACCGCCTGCTGTTAAAAACTAGCCTAGAGTGCTGTCTGGTTTTAAAGACAGGCCTAGAGCATCATCTGATGTTACAAACTAGCCTAGTGTACCGCCTGCTGTTAAAAACTAGCCTAGAGCGCCATCTGCTGTTAAAGACAAGCCTAGAGCATCATCTGATGTTACAAACCAGCCTAGAGTACCGCCTGCTGTTAAAAACTAGCCTAGAGTGCTGTCTGGTGTTAAAGACAGGCCTAGAGCATCATCTGATGTTACAAACTAGCCTAGTGTACCGCCTGCTGTTAAAAACTAGCCTAGAGCGCCATCTGCTGTTAAAAACTAACCTAGAGTGCTGTCTTCTGTTAAAAACTAGGCTAGAGCGCCATCTGCTGTTAAAGACTAGCCTAGAGCATCATCTGATGTTACAAACCAGCCTAGAATACCGCCTGCTGTTAAAAACTAGCCTAGAGTGCTGTCTGGTGTTAAAGACAGGCCTAGAGCATCATCTGATGTTACAAACTAGCCTAGAGTACCGCCTGCTGTTAAAAACTAGCCTAGAGCGCCATCTGCTGTTAAAACCTAACCTAGAGTGCTGTCTTCTGTTTAAAACTAGGCTAGAGCGCCATCTGCTGTTAAAGACTAGCCTAGAGCATCATCTGATGTTACAAACCAGCCTAGAGTACCGCCTGCTGTTAAAAACTAGCCTAGAGTGCTGTCTGGTGTTAAAGACAGGCCTAGAGCATTATCTGATGTTACAAACTAGCCTAGAGTACCGCCTGCTGTTAAAAACTAGCCTAGAGCGCCATCTGCTGTTAAAAACTAACCTAGAGTGCTGTCTTCTGTTAAAAACTAGGCTAGAGCGCCATCTGCTGTTAAAGACTAGCCTAGAGCATCATCTGATGTTACAAACCAGCCTAGAATACCGCCTGCTGTTAAAAACTAGCCTAGAGTGCTGTCTGGTGTTAAAGACAGGCCTAGAGCATCATCTGCTGTTAAAAACTAGCCTAGAGTGCCATCTGTTGTAAAAAAAAATAAAAATAAACTAGAAAAAAGTCACCTACAGTATATCTTTGGTAGTTTTTGGGTGAACGATTTTAAACCGCTTGCTGACAAATTAAATGTGTTAATTAATTACTGGTCACAACAAATTCATGTTAGATGTATGTTTTTATAATCAATATTTTTTGTTTATTTGTTTGTTTAATAATTGTATTTAGGTTGCAATTTTGTATTATAATTTGTAGCTTCTAGCTTCTGGCATCCATTTCTGGTCAAATAGTGTGGTGGAGTCCTTGCTCATTTTAAACGCTGTGTAAAAAAACAACACACACGTGTGAAGCTTTAGTTAGTGTATGCTTTCTCTTTTCTTTATATTATAATATTTTCTTCCTGTTTCTGTCTTTGTGTTTGCAGTCCAAAGGAAAGAAGCCTCTGTTTGTGCAGTTTATTCTGGATAATATCTGGAGTATGTATGACGCTGTGGTCACTAGAAGGTACTTGAACTTCCTTTGTCTGTCGAAATTAGTCAATTGCGGTACATCAATGAACAATTTGTACCGACTGAAAGCTAATGTCCTCTGAGATGCATTGTAACTTTATAAAATAAGCAAAAAAAAAGCACAAAAGATGCTAAAAATGCTAAATAATTTTACATGTTATGCTGTACATTAATAAATGCATAAAAAATTGGTTACATTAAATTTAAAATCAAATTAACAAAAACAAAATAAAAAATATAATGATAGAAATAATTCAATTCGTCTTTATTTCTATAGCGCTTTTACAATGTAGATTGTGTCAGAGCAATTTACTATGATAGAAGATCATAGTAAATTGGAACTGTGTCAGTCCAGTTTTCATAGTTTAGTTCAGTTCGGTGTGGTTTAATTTTCACTGCTGAAAGTTCAAACATTGAAGAGCAAATCCACCGATGCGCAGCTCCACAAGACCCAAACCAAGCAAGCCAGTGGTGATAATGGCGAGGAACAAAACTTCTCCAATTGACTAAAGTGCAAAAAGAAAAACCTTGAGAGAAACCAGGCTCAGTCGGGCATGATCATTTCTTCTCTGGCCAAACTTCTTGTGCAGAGCTACAGTTTAGGTGCCAGGGGCTGGAGATCGCTGGACGTCCAATGTGGAGAAGCTGCACATGTAAGTAGGTCACCTGCTGGTATACAAGCTGGAGACTCGTCTGTCACTGTGGTCTTTAAGGAATCAGTCTCATGCTTTCCACTCCTCCACGACCACCACAGCATCTGCTTACGATACGGCCTGGTCTAGGATTATGGAGACCTTAGGATAATGACAAACAGACTGACATAGGCGTAGATGCCAATTTCCTAACTTAACGCAGCCTAACAATCCCTTAGAGGATTAGGATTTCAAAAGCCTTTGTGTTTTATGTGTATGCTAATGCAAAGAGATGGAGTGTGTCTGCTTCCCGAACCATGCTAGAAAGGCTGTTCCATAGTTTAGGTGCCAGATATGAGAAAGATCTACTGCCTACAGTGGATTTTGATATTCTGGGAATAATCAGTTGTCCTGAATTAATTGAGCATAATGGACGGGAGGGGTTGTAATACACTAGGAGCTCCCTCAAATACTGGGGAGCTAAGCCGTTGAGGACTTTGTAGGTAGTCAAAAAAGGTATCTCAAATTTGCTAGTGTACAATGTTAAGTAATTGATTCAGCACGAAATCAGAACTGACCTTTATAAATGCATTTTTTCTGGTCGTGCATACTACAGATAAAAAAAAGGCACTTTTTTGTGTCATTTTCTTCTGTCCAGGGACAAAGAGAAGGTGGAGAAGATGATGACGTCTCTGGGCTTGAAGGTCATGTCTAGAGATCTCAGACACTCGGATCCCAAAGTGCTCCTCAGTGCCATCTGTAGCCAGTGGCTGCCTTTGTCTCAAGCTGTGCTCTGTATCCTTCACTACAGAAAACATCATACTTGTTGAAAAAACACTGAAATCAGGGGTCAGGAAGATTATTTTCTGTTTTTGGGAAGAATTCTGTTATTCACCAAGGCTGTATTTAATGCGTCAAAAAATAGTAAAGAAATAATCTAAAATTTATTTCAGCAATACATTCAGGATTATTTAGTAATGAGAAAGCAGGCATTAAGCCTGGTTAATACTTCTGCGTCAAGTGACCGGCGTAACCCACGGCGCATGCAACGCGCGTAGCTGTGCATTTATACTTCTGCACGCTGTCTCTGTTGGTCTGCATTAACACTTCCGAAACGCTAGTTGGCAGTGAGGTGTTTATGTTCCTCTGTGTCGAGTTTCTTCTCTGCTGTTTTTTTTTTTTTTAACGCTACCTGAATGTACAAGTGGCTCAAACTCGCTCATTTCGAGGCAGGAATCGGCGGACATGCAACTACTTTAACTAGGAGGTAAACACAAAACAAAACTTTACAAGTGTGGAGTCCCGTGAAGGAGCTCCGGATGGAAACAATGTGTAGTTGTGTAGTGTAGTTACATTTTTTGAGAGGTGCACGTCAGCGACGCCGACGGCTACGGCATAGGGTTATGCGTCAACGTGTGGGCTGCGTCGTAGCATACACGTGCGCTTGACGCAGAAGTATAAATCAGCCTTTACTGTCAAAACATTCTTTGGGGGGTGTTAATATCACTCTGTTAGTCTTAATGTTAACTGTAATCTAATGTGCTGAGTACATAAATATATATACATATAATACATCAACATATGTTTAGCCTCCTAATCCTGTTTCTCACCCTGTCCAGACTAAAGTTTCCAGAAATGTCCAAAATTAATTACACAGTGGCAAGCGGCAACCTCCCGCTCTCCCATAGGAAGCCAATACGGAAGTAACGAAAACTGCAATTCATCCGAAATTCCGCTAGTCCTGGCCGCTCCTGGCTCCAAAATAGAGCGAATTTCAATTGAGCCCACTGTTAGAATGGCCAACTTTACAGCAGAAAAAAAAAAGTGTTTACAGCCTGGTGCAAAAAAAAGATTTTGGTTCATACAGCTAATATTACCCTTCATGACAACTGTGAGGGGGTGAATTTTTTTTATAACTCATCCGTTTCCTTTATATTAAGTTATATTAAGTTTGCATAATTAAGGGCGTGGCCACTTGAGTGACAGCTAGGTCTCGTTGGTCGCCGTCACGTCACCTCAGCTGAATCCTGCAGATTAGCCACTGAACTCGGCATATTTATCGTATTTCTGTGTTGTTTTATGTGGCTTTACACAGTCAACTGCCTTTTGGACTTGTTTCCTACAATTATTAGATGGCATTGCATGCTGAGTGCACTTAATTGTGCTCACAAACCGTTCACATGGCCTCCGTTTCCCATGTGAGTAAAGTTATATATTTATATACCATCTCTATACATGTATTTTGTTTTATTTAAGATCATTTATTGTTTATATTTATATTTAGAGCTGTAATGCACTCCAGAATCTGTCAGATTGATTAGCTGTAGGCTCTAGAACAGTCATCTGAAGTGTTGTCATACAGTGTTATGCTGGATTTCATCAATAGTCTTACATTTACTAACACAGACTATATCTGAAGTGTTTGGAAGCAATTCGCGTTTTCCTCCTGTAGAAAAACGTCATATGAACAATGTTTAGTGGCTCGATGTATTACAGCAGTGTTTTTAAAAGTCTAAACACTTTATTGATATAGTATACAACCAAGCACAAGTGGTCAGAATACAAACAAGTCACAGGTAATAAAGTATTAAGCGTTCTCCCAAAGTAAAGTGTGTCTGAACCAGGTCCAAGCTAAATGCCAGCAGGTGTCTGTAGCTCCGCTCACTCTCCGCCTCTTTGCACTTGTTTGGTATCCCGCCGTGGGTGTGATGACGCGCGAACAAAATGGCAACGGTTGGCCGCGCCTACTTGTGACTTCTTTTCCGCTCTTTAGAAACCTATGGGTTACGTCACGGATACTACGTCCATATATTTTACAGTCTATGCACAGTGGATCTTCATCAACAATCTGGGTTTGACTGACAACATCCACCTCCTTAACATCAACCCTTACTGCCGTGATCTATCACTTCAATATTATGTCAGGAATATATTTTAATGAGAAATCAGGCATTACTAACTCCTATAAAAAATTAAAGCCCCCCCTAAAATCAGTAATTTTATTAATTTATTTATTTTATTACTTTTGATGTTAAAATCAATATGTTAGTCCTTATTTGATCTATAATCGTGTTTCCTACAAAAAAAGACAGAATATTAGATTTTAGCTTTCAAAACATGGTTTCTCTCTTCCACCAATAAGGTTCACCATTTATTATGATGTCACCTCATACTTCAGATCTTGCTACCAATCAAATTCTACATCCCACATCAAATGAAGTGGCATTTGAAGATGTTTCGGCAGACCTTTAAAGAAACGGTGCAAGAGATCAGTAAATAAATATATACATATAATACATCAACATAGGCCACTGTTTCTCACCCTGTTCAGACTATAGTTTCCAGAAATGTCCAGCGTTAAGTACACAGTGACTTATCTTCATCAACACTCTGGGTTTGGCTGGCGTTGTCCACCTCCTCAACATCACCCCATCTCGTCATGATCTATCATTTTAATATTATGTCAGGAATATATTGTAATGAGAAATCAGGCATTACGATCTCCCCTATATATATATATATATATATATATATATATAAAAAGAAAGCCCCCTTGAAATCAGTAATTTATTTATTTATTTTGGTGTTAATATCAATCTGTTAGTCTTAATTTAATCTATAATCAGGTGTCCTACAAAAAAGACAAAAAGTTAGATATTAGCTTTCAAAACATGTAGTTTCTCACTTCCACCAATAAGATTCAACAATTTTTTGATGTCACCCCATGCTTCAGATCTTCTGACTAATCAAATTATACATCACACATCAAACAAAGACACATTTCAAGATGCTTCAGCAGACCTTTAAAGAGACGGTACAAGAGATATAATAAAACAAACAAGCATATGATACATAAACATAGGGTTAGCCTCTTGATCCTGTGTCTCCCCCCTGTCCAAAATGTCTTCATTTCAGACTATAGTTTCTAGAAACATCCAGCACTAATTACACAGTGACGTTATCTTCATCAGCACTCTACGTTTGACTGGCGTTGTCCACCTCCTCAACATCAGCCCTACCCGCCATGATCTCAGCAGCTGCACCGAGCGTTCACACTCCGCTTCTTCTGTGGCGATATGACTGGCACAAACACGCCTCGCCATTACTGCGCTGACAGGTGCTCGCAGCCGCACACCACTGCCATTAACGCTTTTGGTAAAATGCCTGTTGTTTCGCTAAACATGCAATCGAGTGATTCTCAAAATACTTCACAAATGTGCAATTTCGGACCGTTTGGCAGGTGTCTCAGGCCTTATGTGTTGCTGCTTCATTTGTGAATGGAAAGCAGTTGGAACTCTTTGTTTTTAGGTGAACAGTTTAAATTGTTGCAGACACAAACTTGTGCATTTATGGATGAAGCGATTTTAGATTTTGGTTGTAAGATTATAAGTAATAAGGAATAATCATGGTTTCACGGTTATCATTAATTTCAAAACTATTAATTTAGAAAATCACATGAAAACTCCTTATATTTTGTTGGAATATTTAACCAATTCCATGCATGTTCAATAAAAATTGTCAGGACAGGGTTTTCTTCAATGTAAAAAAAATATTATTAATATATTATATACAAATTAATAATTCGATCTCCAATGCAAGAACTACATTTAGTAGTTGTGCAACAATTCTACATTTCCTGACTCAAGAATTTATACACAACTGATATTAACAGGTGGAGTTTAGTGGAATGCGCCACTTGTGAATCATTCTGCAACGCTTCGGCGGCTGCACCCAGACATACTTCCTCTTTTTCTACAAATCTCTCTGCTCACAAGCTGACATTATTATCAGATAAGGCACACTGCTTCTCCATTGGAAATAACGAACTTGCATGTACAAAAGACACAATATGTGAACGACCCTTGGTTAATAGCCTCAGCCGTAGTTAATTCAGTATGCATGCGTGGGTATTAGACTCGGTGTACATGCTCGGAACTTTTAACTAGCGCACAGTTGGCATAATTTTTCGTTGTAGCAGTTTTGTTTCGTGTTGAGAAGCCTTTACGATTAATCAACCTTGACGAATTGAAGCGTGGTTAATAGTGAAATCGGTTAATTGTTTTGTAGTAGTATAAACTATATTTTGAAGTCGGAATGAAATCAATATTTACTCTTCTTATTTTTATATTGGTGTTGCTTTATATATTTCATATTGAGGATGAACCAAATTAATGAAAAAAATAGTAATAGTGGTAGTAAAAACATTTCTTAATTCTTAAAATACTGTTTTATTTATTTTTCTATATTGTTTAATATTTAGAATGGATCAAATAACGACAAAATTAATTTAATAATGAAAATAAAGTAAGAAACATCTTAAATGAAACCTATCACATATTTTGAGCCCATGCACATTGTTCCACGCTATAATCAATAATTGATTTAATGCATAAATATAGTAAAATGTATTTGTTATGAACAAATAACAACATTTAAAACAAAGGAAGCATTGAAATAAGTTCAGGGGCACTGTAAAAATGCTGGGTTGAACACAATTGATTTGTGTTAGGGCAACATTAAGGAATTTAGTTAACTTATTAGTTTTTACAAATTGAAGTGGATTGGATTTAAAACAGTTAAGTTGACTCCCCTAAAAACTCAAGAATTGTGTTGATTCAGCTCTTTTAATACAAGTAGTTTAAACAAACAGCATACATAATTGTTTGATTGAGGAATCAGGGCCAAAATAACACACTGAAAAAGTGAACTATTTTGAAGTTATGAAATAAACTATTTCTCCCCAAAATAGCGACGACTAAAAAAAAAAAAAAAAAATAGACAATTCTAATCTACACTCAAAAAATAGTTTTAATTGAACATTATTCCATTGTGGACAGTGATCTTGCGTGATCACACCACATTATCTTAACATCCCGTCAAATGCTGTGGAATGAACATTTTATATGTGGTCCAAACACAGTGAATTATGTTTGATCAAACAAAAGAAGAGTGAAATATGAAAACAATGATCGGTCCCTGTGGCTTGTACAGCACCTCTCATCAGTTGGAATGCAATAACTTTTGCATAGATTATGGTAGAGACATTTTTCTTTTTTTCCTATGATTACAGACAAGTGCAGGAACCACCAAAACTAATTACAGCACGCTAGACATTAAAAAAACATTAAAATGATTTCTGAAGGAGACATGGAATGTATGGTTGAAATTGCAGCTTTTGATGACAAGAATAAATTATGTTTTAAAAAAATAATGCTATAAAAAAAGTGTTTATTTTAAATAAGAAAAAAAAACTCAACAATATTATTAAATTATTCATATTTTTCAGACATTTTCAAGACACTTCTATACAGCTTAAAGTGACAGTTAAGGGCTAAACTGGGTTAATTGGGTTAACAAGGCAGGTTAGGGTAATAAGGCATGTTATTGTATAACGATGGTTTCTTCTATAGACTATCGAGAAAAAAAAATAGCTTAAAGAGGCTAATACTTTTGACCTGAAAATGGATAATAAAAAAATTAAAAACTGCTTTTATTTTAGCCAAAATAAAACAAATAAGACTTTCTCCAGAAGAAAAAATATTATCAGACATACTGTGAAAATTTCCTTGCTCTGTTAAACATCATTTTGGGAAATATTAAAAAAAAAAAAAAAATGCAAAGGGGTTTATTAATTCTGACCAACTGTATATTGTTTAAATAGAAAACTTTCATACATAATTTTTCATATGGATTTTTTAATATTGCGATATTATTATGTATTTCAATATATGTATATACATGCTTCTATTTGTATCTTTATTCTACCAATAAGAGAATTAAAAACCTACATATTTTAATTGTCTGATAATAAACTATATTTATTATGTATATATACAGTATATAATATACAAATGTACATATATATATATATATATATATAAATACAGTATATATAATATTAATTATATTTTTCATATTTGAAACAGTTTTTTTTAAATTATTATTAAAATAACTTTAATAAATAAATAAAAAAACATCCTTTAAAACAAATTAAATATTAAACAAAAATACTGTTAAAAAGCATGCCTCTGATAAATAAGATGAAAAAATCTAACTCGTGCAATTTTCTATGGACACGCTGAGACTGTCAAGCAACGCTTTCTTTTCGTCAGCTCTTTTAACTGACCATTTATTAATAAAACATTTGGGTTTTTATTTAGTGCAGTGGCAGGCGAGTGTGTGTTTTCTTTGACTGTGTTACTCAGCGATGGTGTGTGAAAAGCTGCCCAGCCCAGCTGAGATCTCGGCTGAGCGAGTGGAAAAGCTGATGAGCGTGGGAGCGCGCAGGTTCGACTCTCTGCCCGACAAGACGCAGGAGCTAAAAAAAGGTGAGTGTGTGTTCACGGCTACAGCAGAGGATGTGATTCACACAGCGTTTCCTCCAGACTCCATCTGTGAATACAGCGCTTTGAAAACTACCATGCGCATGTGCTCTTTTATATCGTTTCTAGCACTTTCTGCCCACTGGAAGCACCCTGGGTCTGCAGCACCTGCTTTATGAACTGTGTTTGGATCGAATTGGGACTTATTTTAAGCTGTACGATGGTGGCATTTTGTTATGTATCCACTTTTTGAGGCTTTCTAAAAAAGTCTCAATTTAATCTTGCACAAATCAAGGTGTTAAGACCTATTAGACTGATCAAAAGTGATTATTCTCTAAAATAATTTATTAATAATTAAAAGTGACTGTTGTTTTCAAATATGCAAACATCCCAAATCTACACAACCTGACAAAAGTCTTGTCAACGATTCCAGTTGTAAGAGCAACAAATAATAACTTGACTTCTAGTTGATCACTTGGAAGTGGCAGTAGGTCGATTTTTCTGATGAATCATCTGCTGAACTGCATCTTAATCATCAAAAACACTGCAAAAGACCTATTGGAACCCACATGGACCCAAGCTTTTCACAGGAATCAAATGTGGTGAAGGAAGAATCATGGTTTGGGGTTACAGTCATTATGGGGGCGTGCGAGAGATCTGCAGAGTGGATGACAACATCAACAGCCTGAGGTATCAAGACATTTGTGCTGCCCATTACTTTATAAACCACAGGAGAGGGCAAATTCTTCAGCAGGATAGCGCACCTTCTCATACTTCAGCCTCCACATCAAAGCTCCTGAAAGCAAAGAAGGTCAAAGTCCTTCAGGATTGGCCAGCCCAGTCACCAGAAATGAACATTATTGAGCATGGATGGGGTATGATGAAGGAGGTGGCATTGAAGATGAATCCAAAGAATCTTGATGAACTCTGGGAGTCCTGCAAGTACGCTTTCTTTGCCATTCCAGATGACTTTATTAATCAGTTATTTGAGTCATTGCAGAGATGTATGGATGCAGTCCTCCAAGCTCATGAGAGTCCTGCACAATATTCATTCTTTATCCACTGCAGCATGACTTTATATTCTATACTGTACATTATTTCTGTTAAGTGACAAGACTTTTGTCTAAGCAGAGTCAGACCTTACTGTCCTAATTATATCAATAAAAATCAAGGCATGATCATATTTTATTTTGGTAAAATAAGCGTAATCTAGAGGTTTTAGCCTTTCATATAAGCCATTTATGATAGCAAATGTTCAACTAGAAATCAAGTTATTATTTGTTGTTCCTAAAATCTGGATAGACGACAAGACTTTTGGCACGTAGCATTGTGCATAATCTTCAAGTGCAAAAAAAAAAAGGGGTCTACGGAAAATGCACTTATGTTTTAAATGTGGACACATAATTGACAGTTATTTCTGAGCGGATTTATCAGAAAATCTGACTTCATTGTTAGTAATTAAAGTTCTTATTGGTTACTGGCATCAATAGTTCCATAAAGAACCTTTAACATCTGTGAGATCTTTGCATTCAAGGTTTTAATGTTATGAAAACCCTTTAGATTTGTTTATGCTGCAAAAAAAAGAGATGGTTTTAGGAACTTTTCTTTGAAATGATCTTTGGCGTTTCAAAAGCAGTTATTTTCTGGCATTGGCGTGAAAATGCTTTTTGAAAGCTTAATTCAACAAATTAAGACCTTAAAATGTCAAAGTCGTGGCATTAAATGCTGAATGGACTTCAAAAATGATTGCCTGCTTCAGTATTTTTTGTTTGTTTGTTATTGTTTACAAATATGAACATTCCAACATCTAAAATCAATATAATTTATTATAATTTTTTTAATCAAATAACTTAAATAAAATAAAAAAAATCTAGGAAACTGATTGAAGTTAAGTTTATGCTTCAAGTAAAGCTTGTTTGCATTTGAAGAATTTTTAATGTATTATAAAAATATCCATATTGTATGAATGTGTTACGTCTTTTCATAAAACGTAAACTCTAAAATGCATTATAATAATTTCATACACTTAAAGTTTGATTTGTTTGCCATGTTTTTTCATAATTTTTTTTACATATTTGTGGTTATAATAATTCATAAGATTACACAATGCATTAGTAGTTATAATAGTTAAGTATATATTTAAGAATTAAAAAAAATATATATATAAACATCAATTTAAAAAAAAAATTCTTTATAACATACTTTTATATGTAAAGATTTTTGTATTTTGCGTGCGTGTGTGTGTGGGTATATATGTCCCACCAGTGGCGATGTACACCCATATCGCATAGTAACTGTGTGATATTGCGTATACAACAGTTTGACGGCATAAACGTGTATATAAAGAAAAAAATCAAACATTGAGAGTCTCAAAAATCCTTTTGTACAAGGAACTACTTTCTTACGCCATTACTTCACATTTGCAGCTGATGTCAGAACAGCAGAAACCGTTACTAATTAACCAACGTCACTCTAGAGCTAGTATATGAATGATTCTCTAGCGTAATGTCTAAAGTGCACTAATATAAGCGATTCAAATAGTTTAATAAAGGTTTAAAGTAAAACTATTTTCACCTTCTGATTTCTAAGAAGCATCACAAAGCTTATTAACCGCTAGTCTTTAAGAAAACCAGCTATATTGCTTTAATGACTGCAAAATTAATTGTAATGATCCAAAGACGTTTCAATTAAACATCTAGGTCAATTTTAACCTACAAAGGGCAGTAAAGCTGCTGGAAAACCTAAAATAGCTGAAAGTAGATTATTGATAAGCATGTTCTACATCCCATCTAAAGTGCTGGACTGAGGAACCTGTTGTTTATTAAATGACTTTTGCAGTCGACTGTGTTAAAAGTTGCCTGTGGGCATTTGTTTTTCCAGCGTTCACACAATTTCGACAAGAGTTTGTGTAATAGCAGGATGCTTTTAATACCGTGTGGCCTCGGGCTGAGTTTTCTTTGAGCTCATGCATTTAAAAAAGAGAAGCGCTTCTCAATTCTGGCTTACAGTTTGTAATATCACGCCTTAAAGTCATTTCCGATGGCGCTTGGGTGTGAAATGTAGTTTGGTTTTGTATTCATATGAAAAGACCACACCGTGTCCCATCCGTATTGTGTTCAACGTCCGAGCTGTACAATTATTCCAGTGTTTCTGCCATTAAATGCGATTTCCTCTTTAATCTGTTTGCTCTGTGTGTTTGTCCCCTGTAGCATTTCTAGATTGTTCTGCTGATGAGACGGCGCCTGTAATCGTCTTTGTGTCAAAGATGTTTGCCGTGGACTCCAAAGCTCTGCCCCAGAACAAACAGAGGTATTGGACCTGCAGATTCTTGTCTGTTATTTTAAGCAAATGTCTGTTTCCTGTGTTGTTTGCAGTTTGTTTTTTGATAGAAGTCAACCCAGGCTCATTGGAAGTATGTGCATCATTTTTGCAAATTCAATACGTTGCTGCGGGATCGTTTTGTTGCACGTTTCAGATGACATATCCACTATAACAACAACACTAAAACAACATCATATATAATTGATTAACAACATCAGACTGCTTAAAACAGTTCTGTCTTTAATAGGGAGCACAGCGTCTTCATGACTTGATTTAACCGGGATCTGCTACCGTGTTTGTCCTCCTCTTTTTCTTTGCTACTGTGTTTATTGGTGGGGCTGCAGTTTTCAATTTTCCCTGGTTTGCATGCGCGACTACTGGGCAGGGCTTAAGATTTGTATTGACGTCACACCAAAAAAGCTAAAGACTTGTTATCAAGACGTTTCATTTGAAGCACTATGAGTCGACTCTGTTATAATTGAATCATTAGTTTTAAACACTGTGCACTTTCAGATTTAAGCCTTCACTGGATATTTCACTTCACTTAGAGCTGTTACACACTACATGGAAGGTCATTCTTAAAAAGCCATAATAGGGGCTCTTTAACATAATTAAATATTATTCAATGTACAATCAAATACAATTTTATTATAATAATGTAATGTTATGTGATAACGATAATAATAATATAGCTGCAAGCAGCAATTAAGGGACCAAGCACTTTTGGCCAAAAGGTGGCGCTGCTCCAGAAGTTTTTGAGTACTTTCAGGGCATGGGGTAGAATCATATCATGTTTTATTTTTTGGGCAAAAATCGAAATGGGCGACGCCCAAAATGGCTGACCTGTGAAAATCAGACATCATTCGACTCGACATGCTCTGCCGGATGTAATGAGACCAGTTTTATGAGTTTCGGACAAAAGGTTGAGACGTTATAAGGCAAAAAGCAAGTTTTTTGTATCTCTGGACCACCAGGGGGCCGTGCGCCGAAACTCCGCATATAACCTCAGACTCTAGTTGTCATAACACACACCAAGTTTGGTGTGAATCTGTGAATGCGTTCAGTTAAAATCGGAGAAACGGCCTAGGACGAGTTCGATCAAATAGGTTTTTCGAAAAATTTAAAATAGCGCGGAAAAATTCATGATGAAAAATGACGACACAGAGTGTGTTTGAATCGGACTGACCCAAGGAATCAGAGGAAAAAAGAATTTTGATTGTAGCCCATTCGGTTCAAAAGTTATCATGATAAACATACGTGAAAGTTTGGACAAGTGGTGGCGCTAGAGAGTTTGTTTCCCGCATACGCCTATATGGGCTGCCATTCAAATCTGGTGGAAGAAACGGAAGAAGAAGAAGAAGAAGAAGGCCCCTAATTACAAAATAAAATATCCATCATGGAGCAGTCCAGCAGTCAAATTTATAAAAAAAATAATTATTTATTATTTTTAGTTGTAAATTCATTTTAAGAAAACTATTTTTTTATTTATTTAAAAATTTTAATAAGAAGATTGAGTGAAAACAACAATATAAATAAAAATTAAATAAAGCTAGAAAGGGTGCATTTTAGGACTTAGGCTCTATGGCTGTAATTGCTTCTCACTAAATCCGCCCCTGAACACAATGCAGGTGGTATAAAACTAATTATAATAAAATAACTATTAAATAATAAAAAAAAATACAGTTTTGTAAAAATAGAGCACTTGCGGACATATATTTTATTGTTTAAATCAGCCCCAGAAATGATATGCATGTGCGCTACTTTCGACCGCACGCTGAGAGAAACCGAAAGTAATCCGAACATATAGTACTGTACTTTAAATGTCCAGTAGGTGGGGGGTCAAAACAACAAGTGGCTATATGAGACTGCACAACAATAGCAACATTTCCATCCACCTATTTTTATGCTCATTTTGAAAATGCGCAATAAAATACAGTTGATGGAAACGCCAAGACACACATACATTTTGAAAATGCGCATAAAAAAACATGCGCGTAGGATAAACTTTTTATTCAATTAGAAAAAATGTGCATAAACTACGATGGAAAACTTACTGAACAAACTGCAGTATGCGCATTAAAAAAGGTCATGTGATTTTCTTATAAGAGATTATGTGTTGATGAAAATGTGAGTGGACAAACCAGCAGGCTGAGCACATTGTAAAACATCTGAAATGTTGCTTTGGTCATCGCCTTAACCAATTGAGTATTAGTGTTATTAAATTATTAATGACCTGCAGAATCAAAAGGGTCTGTGCCCCACTTCTCACGCCTTCAAACGCCATCACACGTTCACTGCACATCAGGATTACCTTCTCAGGCACAAGTCATTTATTAAATGAAGAAAAGATTCACACAGCTTCTTCTCCAACTGCAAATTGCATTTTTACTGTTGACATTTAGCACCAGTTCATCAGGAAGTGACAACTTTATTCGCTTAGACTCAATAGATGGAAAAGCTGCTTTACTCGCACATCTTTTATGCGATAATCCAGTTTTGCACATAAAGTTAATTCGCATTTTTGGATATAAACATAGCTAATGATAGTGATTCAAAAATATATGTTTCGGCAGGCTGAATCTCTTTACATTTTGGACATCAGTTACTGGCTGGAGGGAGGAGGGGGGGTGTCGCAAATGACATCTCAAGAAAAGTGTTTGCTTTTGTTTACACAGTTTTCAATGTTAATAGATTGTGCTGTTTACAGTACATAATAATATTTGTAATGGGAGTTTTCAACAAACCACATCCAGAAAAAAAAAAAAAAACTCTTTTAAAACACCATCTTAAAAATATTACAAGTTTTGAAACTTGCTGGCTGCAAATACAAATGTTTCTTACATGAAGAAATAATAATGATGATGATGAAGATGATGATGATGGTTTGAAGGTTGTTTTGCAGGAAATTAAGCAGTTTTATGTCACATTAACATGAAGACACCTCGTGATTTTTCCTATTTTTGTTTTGGTGTCTTAATGTGAGGAGCATTCCACATGTCTGTCTGCACATGGTGTTCTGGAGAAAAGCAGCCTTCAGGCATCATAGATACACGTCTGATGGTAAATCTCCCATGAGGAGAGAGTCGGGACAGATGTTTTCCTTTGTAGATGGTTTATATGACTTTGAGTCGCTCACATAATTTACATCAGAGAGGATTAGATGATCATTCTGACTTAAAAACCATGTGCTGCTGTGGTGCAGTTCCTAAAATACTGTGTTTGCTTGCAATTGGTGAGTGTTTCTTTTGGACTTTATTGCTCAACAAAGGATTAAATGCTTGCAGTTTTTTTTTTCTTGTTGTGATTAATGTCCAATTGGGACTTGTGAGTTGTTCGATACTGACTAAAAAAAGATACTTCTGATACTTAAATATGATGCGAAAAAGCACCACAAAGTCCCTGTTGTAATGTAATGTTGTAATTGAATCTTTCATTCAAATTGACTGATTTCTTGAATCACTGACTCTCTATTCATTCTAAAACAGATTAATTCAGTCATGAAATGCTCCAGTGAGAGACAAATGTTGTGGCTTTGTTTGGAATTATTTTCATTGGTGAAATGAAAAAAAAAAAAAAAACTAAAAAGAGTACCGTGCAAATGTCCTAAGCACTATACCAACTTTGTTGGTCTAAGACTTTTGCACAATATAATCAATATATATGTGCACAATAAAATAATACAAATACATTACAAGCTTACAAGTTTAATTTACAAGCTTAACTTGATTACTCAACTTTATAAATTTATTTATTTTGTTTTATTTATTCATTCATTTTCTTGTTGGCTTAGTCCCTTTATTAATAACTACATTTTGATAAAAGCTTTTTTTTTTTGCTTTTATAACTTGAATCATTGGGTATTACAACGCTGTCTTAGGGCAATTTGCAACTTTGATTTAGTGGCTAATTAGTATGAATTTGTACAGTTTAGTAGGATTTGCTCACCCCGCTATGACGGTTGGGTTTAGAGGTGGGGTTTGGTGCCTCTTTTTTTTTTAAATCTTACATTTTTGTATGACTTACAAATTCAAACAAATTAGCCACTAAACTGACAAAATTTAAAATAGTTATGTTTCCTTGTGAGATCAGGCTGGGTAATAACAGACATTGTTTAGATGTTTTGCTTTCATAACCTGATTTATCTGATAATAGCTGTCTTAATTGACCTCTTTTCTAGATGTCTTGCTTTCGAAACTTAATTAATGGGTAATAATTATGTTTAAATAACTTTTTTTTGACAATTTCCTGAATTATTGGGTATTAACTGCGTTTATAGAAATGTTTTCTAGAATTTTTTGCTTTCCTGTATTATCAAGTAATAATCTTTAATAAACTTTTCTAGATTTCTTGCTTTTGAAACTTAATAGCTGTTTTTGAGCTTTTTTCAAAGTGTCCTGCTTTTGTAACTTGAATTATCTGTTGATAACTACGTTTTAATATACTTTTTTCCTAGATTTATTGTTTTCGTAACTTGATTAATCAAGTAATAACTGCAAAAGGAAGGACATTTTATATTATATTAATATACAGTTATTTTTTTATTAATATTATAAGGGCACAAATATAAGAAAATGATGTGCACATGTAAATTATTTAAAATAATTACTTAAATTAAAAACTATTATCAAGGTAAATTTTGGGGTGATTTTAATGCTCTAATTGTGATAAAAAAAAAAAAAAAACTTAAACCTTTCTTTTACACGGTGTCCTTGGGGTCTTAAAAAGTATTAAAAAATGATAAATCAACACAAAAAAAAATATTTAAAGATGATTTCTTGGATTTACTTATTTTTTTATGTTAAGTGGTTGTAAAAAAATTATTTGAGCTGAATTTAAACAAACAAATTAAGTTGAACATTATTAAATTTTATTTGTTTGTTTAAAATCAACACAAATAAATTGTTTGCAACAGTTCTGCATGCAACACTTTTTTTCAGTTAATTTAGAGATATTTAAGGCCTAAAAAAGTATTAAAAAGTCTAAAATGC